GACTGTATATGACAAACGTAACTGTCCTCATGGTGGTGGTAATGATGATAATGGTGATGATGACAATTGTGCATTTATGATGTAAGAGCCCTGACCTGTTAAACTACAAGAAAATAACAACTGTGTGACAATAGCGTATGATGATGATGATGATGATGATAAAAATAGTGTATGCAGGTGATGATGATGACAATGATTGATGATGATGACAATGATGATGACAATGGTGATGATGACAATGTATTTATGATGACAATGGTGATGATGACAATGATTGATGGTGACAATGATTGATGATAATAATAATGATGATAATAATGATGATGACAATGATTGAGATGATGATGATGGTGACAATGATTAATAATAATGATGGCAATGATGATGCCCGTGCCAGAGATATTTACCTTGAGCTGTGCAGCAGCAAGGTTATTCCAACACTTCACCTTAAGATCTTGAACTTTCTAAAAATGTGAAAATATCAAAGAAGATTGAAGAGGAAAATAGAAAGCTGTAAGGCAGGGCACAATTAATCACCATTTACTTTTTCTAACAGACTAGTGAAGAAATGAAAAAAGTGAGCACGTTCTGTTAAGCAGTTATAAAGGATACAGGTTGAGAGAAGCAGGGTGCATGGCAGAGTGCTATTTTACACTTCTCGAGTGTTCTGCCAAAACCCAAGTGCAACCCAACTTCACAGCAAAGCAAAGATTTAAATTTCTTTTACAAAAATACAATTTAGAGGATTAAAAATGGAAAGAACATGTACATGTTGTTTGCTTTCACACTGAATGCGCTCTAAACCTGCACTTCAATACCAACTGGACCCAGTGCCCTAAAACAGTCCCACAATGCACTTCAATACCAACTAGACCAAGTGCCCTAAAACAGTCCCACCAGTGCACTTCAATACCAACTGGACCCAGTGCCCTAAAACAGTCCCAGAATGCACTTCAATACCAACTGGACCCAGTTTTTTCCTCAACTTCAGAATGGCTAATGACCAAAGAACATGTCTTTACTATGTATTTCGCATTGCCATAGGAAATCGTTTCTATTATCAAGTGACCACCTTTCTTACCTCTGAAGATGAAGGCATCAGATACTTGATTGCCCTGTGGATACAATACAGTGTAACTACAGCCATGAAAGTACTGGGGGGAGGGGAGGGGAGGGGAGAAGAGGGGAGGGGAGGGGGACCAAGTCTAACAAACATTAAGCTCGAACCTTAGTATCTCAAACTCTTTAAAATCTTGAACTCAAACCAGTAATTCCCCTTGATCAAGAACTGTGGTGTGCATTGCTAATGCACCACCTGTCGCAATAATGTATTCCAACGACAAGGACCACAGTAATTGGTAAAAGCTGGTGTAGTGTCCCTGCGCTAGTGGGAAAAATTAAAAAAATCAAATCAAATCATGATAATTTACCTTTGGTAACAGTTGATAGCAGCAGAATAGTCCCCTCTGGTATACAAGTCGTTCCCTAACTCTCTCTTCTTGTCACTAGATTAGATTTCAAAATAATAAGATAATTAGAGGTTATAAGAACTCAGTATCATTTTTGTTCAACAGTTTTGCATTTTTATATAAAAAACGAATGAAGGGAGAGATACGATTCTTTAACAACCATATGAAATAAGAATTCAGGGGAAAAACTTTGATGATATCATCAACCATGGAAATGATACTAATTCCAATACTGATGATACTGATTTTGCTCTCTCCTGTTTGGCCAAAGTTTTTTTAAATCTTAAATTAATTTTAGTTTAAGTATTCTCAGTTTATAGAGAGTCTGCACTGTAAATATGTAACTTTAGTAAAAATATGCAGGTGATTATAGAAAATCTCGCATGCTGATTGCCAGGTTAAGAAACGCACACTATCACACAATAATCACCTCCAGCGATAATCCAAAATGGCGGCCAGCCGCTTTGTGGCTGTTACCGGAAAAAAATGTCTTTTATCTTCATTTTTTTCTTTTTTTGAAAGAATCACTTGTGTATTTATACTAAAACAATAACTTGCCAAAGGTGAAGTGAATATTGGGGAATATTTACCTCGCCACTCGAAGACTCATGTCTCAGTAATATTCCCTGATAATCACTTTGCCTTCGGTGAATAAGTGTTAAATAACAAATAAATAATGATGATAATACTACCCAAAGGGTGAAAACCAGTTTAAAGACTTTGTTCAGACTCACCTGATTTTAATTCGTTCCTCGTCACTCATGGTTTCAATATCAGGTCCATCTCGTACTGCTAACAGCTCAATTTCATAGGAGATTTGAGCATTTGGTGGGACTGGATTATCACCTTCCACCCTTTAAAAGATAAATATATATAAGTTAATGTTCCCATTTTGAGTTCGCATTTGCTCAGTCTTAGTCTCGATAGCGTACAAATGTGTTCTTTTCTTTCATTAAGGCCCATTGTACAGTAAGAAATGTACGCACTACGGAACAATACGAGTTGATTAAAATGCCACGGCTTTTGGTTGAATATCATAACACACAAACAAGACTAAGGCTGAGCAAAGACACTGGAGTATTGTCATGGTTTCATATACTATCAGATTATTATCAATAATTAATGAGGTAAACAACAAAAAAATCAGTCATCAAAAAAAATTCTATAAATCGGAAACAGAATCACCCTCATTTGCATTCGACTTTAAAGTGAAACACGCAATGACAATACTATATAGTATATAGTAAGTATAGTAATAAAGACAGTACTAAATATTCCTGACCTTCCTTGCTCTCCATATGCATATCGGGCATCAGTCACTAGCTCACATACTTCGTTTAGTTCCATGAGAGCCACACCTATGTCAAAGGCTAAACAAACACCCAAAAAATGAATAACCTAGCAACAGGGCTAAAAATAAGTCCCGCGAGAACCCAACTGAGTCAGATTTCTTAATCTGCTTATACACTCGATGTAGCATACACTTAACATATAGATCTTTACCGAGTGACAAAAACACATTTCATAAGCTCAAAGCAGTTGCAAAGAAAAGTTTGCCAATCAGAACACAAGATAAATGTAATGGTACAATACTAGCTTGTTTATATCAAAGGAGCATAAAATGTCTGCCCAATTGGCTGAGTTTGTTAGAACCAACATATTATTGGGAAGTTGTGGGTTAAACTGTTCTCTCCTGTGCCACAAGGGTTTTCTCCAGGTTCTCTGGTTTTTCCTCCCTCCGTAAAATCAACATGTGAGTTGAGAGTTGTATTGATAGAAGATTTGTTTGTGAGTCACAGTGGATCAAATTAGAAAACAGTATAAAATATACTGAATTTGTATCCCTCTATGAAAATTTACAATATACATTTAAAGGGATTTAAAGCCTTGGCCGAAACCAATACTCGGGTCATAAATTATCTGACTAGAAAGCGCTGCCTTTGCTCTTAAAATATCTGCAAATGGTTAGACCTTTTGTCATTGTTCAGATGACCATGTATAACAATGTTCCTGTCTCATTCCAAGAGGTTAAAAACAAAGAGCACCACAARTTTACCAGTGCTAATAATATTGGCACGTGTCACCCTAGTCAATTATTATTGTTGTTATTAAACATTGTGAAAATTATCATACATGTATTTGGGTATTTAACAAAAACTTTTCAAAATGATTAATATTTCAGTCCATAAATTGAATTGGAGACCTTGAGAAGTGAGAGAGGCAAGAGCAGTTCCTCTGCAATGCTCTTAATTTATTCCCTTAAGATTGCTCAAAAGACTTTATAAACTAAGATGTTCTATATCTAACAATCATTTGCTGAAGGTGAAGTGAATATCAGGGAATATTTACAGAGACGCAAGTCTTCTAGCGGCGAGGTAAATATTCCCTGATATGCACTTCGCCTTCGGTGAATAATTGTTTTAGTTTAAATACACAGGTGATTTTTTTTTTAAAAAGGAATAAAAGAAGTGAAAAGAATTTTTTCCCTGTAACAGCAACAAAACGCTGCCATTTTGGATTATCACTGGAGGTGATTATCATGTGATAGTGTGAGTTTCTCGACCAATCAGCATGCGAGATTCACAATATTATCACCTGTGTATTTTTACTAATATATTATTATCTTATTTATACCAACCCTGTAAGACTTCCCCTTCTCCAAGAATAAACTSAAAGCCCTGATTCCAGTCCACAGCTGTACCATCTCCCAGTCTTCCTGCTGTTCTYAGCATCACAATCTGTCCTCTGTCAGGCCTTGTGTCACGTCCTTTACCAGCAAGTAATGTCTTAAAGTAAGAAGAAAAATATATCGGTAATTTAATGATTTTAAGTGTCAAGTCCATATGCGCAACCGAGTGTAAAGAGGTTAGGTGGGCATGAGGGGAATATATAAACTTATTATCTTTACTAACAATCACAGGATAACAGTTATTTTCCACTCGCAATCCCCAACTCTAGGGTCTTAGGTTCAATTTTTTGGGCTCTGCATCACATACGAGTAGAACTTGTTGGATCACTTCCTCATTAAAGATGCAAAATCCAGAGAACCTGAAACATCACTCTTGTCAAGGGAGAGACACAACAARCTCCACTCACTATCTTTTTGTGATTTACATATTTACTTGTAACCACTGAAAAAGTATTAGGTTTGCAAAGAGTGGTCAACCAAAAATATTTGTTTTAAAATTAAGAATTCATTATAGCCCTTTATAAAAAAACTATTATAAATGTCGCGTTCTGATTGGTTTGGAGCATGTGCTTTATGAGAGCACATTGCATGCACGCACACTTTCCAATAGTCATTCCTACCTATTATTGTAATTTGTATTTTATTTAAAAAAATTAAAAAACTTGCTTGCTGTGCTGTGTGCAGTCATAAAGCACTTGGGGATTGGCAGAACACTAGAGAAGTGTCCAGAAGCACTCTGCTACACGTTGTGCTTTTCCTAACACTTCTCTCGGGAAAATATTACACATGATTGAGGTAAAAATGTCTATAGTATTGATTTGTAGCTGCAAAGCCAATCAATACAACATGAACAACAGTCATGACACTAGTTTGCTTATTGTCAAATTATGAATTTACTATAATTAGCACCTACTCGTTTCTTCAGTAATCCATTTCCCAGAATGTCAATCCACTCATTAGAAGATGAAGAGTCTTTTTCCCTTGCTTCTKTTGCTTGTTTTTTTATTTCCTCCTCTGAAACATTTTCGTCTTCACTTTCTGAAGTAAGAGCTTCTCCTGTCACTTCATACTTAATTTTTCTGTACTCAGCCTTGGTTTTAGCATCTGGTGAATGGTGGCTTCCATGATGTGTAGGTTCCAGAGGRGGTAACTCACTGTCATCTTCACTTTCAGATGTCTCTGCTTCTCCTGTGACTTCAGACTTAATTTTTAGGTACTCTGCTTTAGATTCTTTGTCAAAAAACTTATGGTTATGSTCAGGGCTTCCATTCTTAGGACTTTTTCTTTGTTTCAAAAGAGGCTTAAATGTTTCTTGGGAGTCTTTTTCATTTGAATCTCTTTCTCGTTCCTTTTCAAATTCCATTTTTTCTGTTACACATTTTCCCCCTTTTTCATCTGTATATTGTGTGTTTACATTCTCACTATCTTGCTCAAGGCTGGCAGTTTCTTCCTCATTATCTTTTGAAACTCCAGCACTTTCGTGGACACCGTTCGTTCTTCCTTTGGATCCAATATCTAAATCTTCGCAAGCCTGTTGAACTGGAATCGGTTCTTTCAACGTCTTTTCAACGCCATTCGTCGTGCTAGTTGCTGTAACACCTTGACCATTTTCTAAGCCACTTTCTTTAACTTTGTTTTTWAACTCTTTTGTACCTAATATATCGCCTGATATATTGTCTTTTTCCTTTAAATTATCTTGAACAGCTTCTGCTGAAGTGTGCTTGAAGTCGGTGTTTTCTTGCTTTGAAAATTCTGACTCAACAGTCGCCATATTGAAGCATTACAATTTTGTACAAGTATAAATAACAGGGTTTTCTTCACAGCCACGACCTAATATTAAAGACCATTGACCAAACCAGCATGGAAAAGACTGAATATTTAATATTTTTCCGATTAGATTGAAGCGAAAAAGATGAACAAATTAATGAGAGGCCATCGACTTGCGGCTGCTCAAGGTTACTCGTGTGTCAAGCCACAGGTAGCCCGCGTATTGACACCYGATGGCTTGGGACTATATAATAAATGAAAGTGTTCAAATGAATGGGAAAAAGGAAACGAATGGAAAGAAGAGAAAATTGATTGGGATTTTTACCTCTTCGTGTTATACCATGAACTGAATAAAGAATATGGATGAGGGGATTGAGCGATGGATGGTTGGACAGACAGACAGACAGACAGACAGATAGATAGATGAATGAATTGATAGAAGCTGGATGTAAGGGAATGGATGAATGGATTGATGGATGGATGATGAATGGTTGGTTGGGTCAATAAATAATTGAACGAAATCAAAAATCAAAAGGTTATAAATAGATTCAAAGTAGCTCGGTCTTTAAACCATTCAAAAGTAAATATTAGTTCGACGTGCCGTCACTAAAAGTGTAGATTCAGCAAAAAGTATTTTAACGACACTGATTCATACGACCTTCAGAATATGAACTTGAACGACCTTGACTGACACTGCACGTAACGTCATTRCGTCATTGATCACTGAGAAAATAAACGTAATGGATATGACTGGGAAATGATTTAAGCAGAATCGAATATCACGACCAATTTGAATTACTTTTGTTCTGGACTGACTAGCCTTGTGTTCAAGTGGACMCATAAATGAGTTTTCACATGTATGGAGAGGCTCTCCAGTCCAGACGAATAGTTTTTCAACTTGCATGATTGCACGCAATATTTCGATTCAGAGCCATAGCGGGAAAATCATATCACTGTGCGTGAATATTGACATAAATTTGAAATATTAGAGGGTTTTTTCCTTTTTTGAATTTCGATTGGCTGAGAAGGAAGCTATTYGAAAATAGAATTAGTCAGTTGTATAGATTTCCCCTCTCTTACACCTTTGTGATTGTTGAAAAGAAACTCCATCAGTAGTACTAGTATCAGCATCAAACGTGAAAAAGTTAACTAACAAAATTGTACAAATTAGTGCAAAGTTTTGTAGGTCTATGGTGTACTGAGGTCTACTGAACTTACAAATTTGTGTAGTTCTTACTACGTTTTTCACGGATATATGGTATGCACTCAATTACTAAGGCTTAGCCTCGATTTTGTGAAGAATATTCACGAGTACCAGTCAAGGTCCGTCAAGTTTCAAAGTGTTCGTCTTTTACTTTACCGTTGGTATTGATTCGAGGCTAAGCCTGAGTAAATGAGTCTGCAATCAAGAAACACAGCGGTAATTTGGAACCGTACTTTTGTGTACGTGACTGGGTACCTAGAGATAAAGGTGGTGGAGTTGTTAATAATATCACAAACCTTACGACATTGTAGACATATATTTTGGGATATGACACGTGCAAATTAAGCATTTCTATTTCTGAGAACAGCACGGCTTTTCATTTTAAGCCGTCGAATCTTTTTATTGTCACAAAGTCGAGAGAATTTAAGAAATGGTTCATAGAGCGTTACAAAAAAAAGAAACAAAGAAAAGAAAGAAAAAATGTGTAACGCTGAAACCTCCATATCTTTGTGTACTTCCGTCTCATAAGTTTTTTACGCATTTTCATTAGTTGTGCCTCATTTATTATTGTATTCTTATTCTCATCGCATGATTCTCACATGATAAAACACGACACCACGACCCCATTTATGAAGAAACTTTAATAGTGATACTGGATATCATACAAAATTGAGTAATGACATAATCTTAAATTAGGGACAATTCATAAATCATGGTTGCAGGGGGGTGGCTATGTGCGGTATTTTTTTGGGGGGGAACTTTTTTTTCAGTCAAAATTTAGGGGGCTATTAAAAGATGGTGGTCATTTTATATTATTCATATTGATGATATTTTTCCTTTTGTGGTGGGCACAAATAAATACACGTCTGTAAAAGGAGGGAGGGGTGCTACAAGATGCAATAAGATGTTGCTCAGTTAAAACCCAAAATTCACATAGCCATCCCCCTCCCAACCCATGAATTAAATGAAAATTTATTAATTACCTTTATGAACGTGCAAAATTCTACAACAATTTGTAGGATTGAAAATGTTTATATAGTTCCTTAGAACATCTAAGGCAATATCTCTCAAAATGCCGAAAAATATCGGCTACAAAGTGGATCAAAACAGTGATCATTGATATAAAGTATACAAAGTCATACTAGGCCTAGACGCTTGCTAAAATGTACATTCGGTTCCATCTGAAGAGGAAAAAATTAAGATAAGTTTGTTCTTTTTTGGATTTATTATGAATTCGTTCTATAATTTTTTCCCTTCAAAATATTTCGTTTTTTTTGCTTCATTGGAACCGGGAATACGTCAAACGTCTAAGTACACATATTGCGTCATAAATCATTAGGGCAACTCTAATATAACAATTACGTCATTGAATTGTCATGACAGTTTCCCTTTTAATCTAATATGATATATATTATAAATTTATGATAATATATTATGAACTTTTTTATTTTTTATTTACCTTTTTATTTTTAGGATTTCGTGGGGTTTCTAAAATATATAACTATTTTTATTAATGCAAAAATAATTTGAGAATAAAAATGAGTTCAAACAGACTTTAAATATATCTCATTTTTTTCTCCTTCTTTAAAAACTAAACATCTTCAGAGCCACGTCTCTGGGTAGGTTATTAGAAGTGTTTAGAGGAAACTTTCACAGATTTTAAAACAACACATTTTGAGGAATAAATACAGTGAAGTGTTTTGAGACACGAATGCGATTACTTGCATTTCTAGGAAGTGATTTGACTAAGTTATTATATCAGTCGCAAAACTAATTAACTCGACTAGATTTTCAATATTTTTTGAAGAAGAACACGATAAAACCAGTAATAAAGGAAAGGGGGTAGGGAAGAAAACTAGAGAAGCGTTAATAAGAGGAAAAAAACAAAGAAGGAGAATTAAGCGGAAAAACTGAAGACGGAAGTGACTAAGAACTGTACGAGACCAAGTACTCAAACAAACCAGAACACACTTTAATCAACTAAGAAATAGCAAAAGCAGACGATAAAAAAGAAAAAAAGGAATGCTCAAAAGCATCCTGTTATATATTTTATTCCAAAGAAATGTCAACCGACTAGGATTACATTAGCATTAAACCGGATTTTTACGAATGASTTACAAAACTCGTGAACGGCATGTGAYATGAAAAGAATGCTTCCGYTCTGTTGCACGTGAGCGAGACCAASGGCCTCCGARAASGACCTCCACRAACWCTCAATTCTTCKATGAAAACAGATACGAGTTCCTAAAATATGGTAGTCTAAAAAAAGAATACTGAAAAAATAAGATTACGAATTGAAAGCTYGCTGAATAAATAAGCAGTTGTAAGTCGCTTTTTTTGCCAAATAGTCGACATACTTGTGGAAGAGATGCGTTGAAACAAAAAGTTTTCATTCGAAGTTATTCGTTTGCTAAGTTTATTTTTAGAGGAAATATAATAAACAAAATACTTAAATGCTTGAAAGAAATGAGAAATTAAACGTCTAAAGTTTCTGGCAAAAATAATAAAGCATTCTATGACAAAAGGGGAAAAATAGTCGAAACCTGATAGAAGAGCGAAAGTTTTACTTAAGAAAAATACTATTAAAATCTAGAAGGAAACAAWTACCGAAAAAAAGTAAATTTTTTGTGGTATGTGTAAATGCAAGTTATGCAAGTCTCGACAAGCGAAGGATAAACCTCCGACTCRTTGATGAAATCTTTGGACAGTTTGAATACAATGCATGTTTCTACAGTAAGATAAATATCCGGACAGAAAGTTCTAAGTATTTGATGTATGCGATAATGATGTATAAATCCCTAATTATCAACCACGATCGATTGATAACGGTAAAAAAAATTTTCACCAATAAGGTCCTGGAACATTCCAAATGGACCGTGCGTGGCCTCATTGCCGTGTTATATTCATTCCTAAAAACCCCGTCTTAAATTTGCTCACAGAAATGTAAATTGTAGATCAAAATGCATTTCTTAAATTCAAKTTGGTGCTGGTAACCTAATGAAA